AAACAAACAGTGTGCTGGTTATCAGTAGATTCAAAGCAATTTGTTTCAAGGCCTCATACCTGTTATATCAGTGTTGCACCATTTACTTACCAGCTCTTCTCCAACACAATCGTTTTGCATTACTGCCACCCAGCTCATAGGTTCTGGGCTATTATTGTATAGAAGTGCATGTTCAATTTTTGCTGTTCCAAAGAAAACACAGCCGAAGTGTATGCATTCCAATTTTTTCTCATCGGTCATGTTTAATAATTCAATAATCTGGTCAGCCACATGAGCTTTAATATTCAAGTGTACATCAGGACGACCTTGTAATCTCACTCTACAACACAATGAAATATACATACCCATAAATATCTTCATTAAACCTCTATATATTTTATTTTTCTTCTAAACATTTGGATAAAATTTTATAAAATCACATTATAATAAAAATTCAGTAATTTAAGAGAGGTTACTTTCACATACGTGACAGTGGTTATCAGATCCTTCTCTCTGTCCAAATGTACATAGTAGAATAACATACATGTGAACTAATTCATCACTGGAAAAAGCAAAGATGGAAAGTCACTTATGAATTGACCCCATAAAAAACTCAACAGCATACCCATGTCTCCAATTGTTTTATAAACATTAGATGTTTTGGATGATTATCTCTAAGTCCAGAACTGAGATTCTTCTCTAACTCATCCTACTTTTCAAGTTCACTCTCATCCCTAACCTAGCACTTCAGTTCCAAACAACATAAAGTATCTCATGAAAGTCTCATTTCTTTGCTGAAAACGAATTATTTTTCCATAAAACTTTACATTCTAGACTAAGTTCTTTTAAAACTGCTTTCCCACATTTGTCCCATTCGAGCATGAATGCAATCTTTTCAATCTAGCCCCCATTACATAAGACAAAGAACTGGCTTTTCCTCAACCATCACCTGAATCATTAATGAATATGATAGCCTACAATATGGGGCATTCTTGATACATGTCTGTTTTCCCTTAGCTTCCTTGACACCGTGTTTTTCTCTTTTACCTTTTGACTCACTCATACCCTTCCTTTTCATTCTATGACTTGGTTCACGTAAAATCCTTGCACAGCGGCATTCCTCTCCTACTCTCTCACAAGCTACCTCCCGCTTACAGTCATTCGCAACACTTCAATGTTTCATCTACCACTTACACAACGACGGCTCTCCACCTAGCACATTTACACTAAACTCCCTCTCTGGCTCAGAACAAGAAAATCCAGCAAGGCGTACCCTGGTCCATCAGAATTCTGAAGAGAAAATTAATCCCAACATGTCAAATCTAAATTTTAGATCTTTTCCCACAGACCCATTTATCCTCTTACCTTTTATTTCTGTAACTAGTCAGCAAATTTAGACGAATCTACCTCCATATCATAGCTGTGATTGGCACACTTCTCTCAATCCTCCCTTTCTGTGTATTAGTTCAGGTCATTATAATTTGCATTTGCTTTCCTGTTATAATTTCTAGTCAGGCTGCACACTCCACATCTGTGCTCCTTAATCCGTTATGTACAATTCTACTAGCATGACCTTTCTAAAGTGTAAACCAATCAAGGTATTTTCTTCCTAAAACCTTCCTGAGACTTCACAGTGAAACCTAAGCTCCTGTCAGGGCTCACAACTATTTCTCATACATTTATGACTGTAACTTTCCAGTAAGAGATGTATTTTCCATTGCAATATACACA